GAATACCTGCCACTTCCCACTGCCCCACCTAACACCTTCTACCAACATCCTAATCCTTTCACCCTCTCATCATCACCGTATAATAATAATGATAATAATAATATAAATAATAATAATATAAATAATAATAATAATAATAATAGAAATGAGATTAATAATTATCATAATATCATCCTATCGACCCTAATTTATATTCAAGTCTACCAACCCTGTTTTAACAAAGGGATGCTGCCGAAAGGGTGATCCCCATAATTTCACAAGTTGATCTCTTCAGGATATAATACAACTAGGCCTTAGACAGAGAACTGTTGCATAGTCAGCAGTGCCCAAACGCGAATGACGGCTCAGTGGACGCGGAATTGTTAAAACAATAACGGGTGATTCGATTGGGATATATGCATGGCGAATAAATGTTTTATTAATTACCGCCAAAAACGCTTTTTTCCTTTTGTATTGAGTTTTCACCTGGTTTATCAGTTAGGGTAACGAATATGAGAAAACGTGCACAGACTACACTACTCTCCTCGTAGTAGGTCACTCCGTGTTTCAACTGTTAATTGAAAAAATATTTAAATAAGTTCTGTGCATGAATTTCTCAAACAAATCTATAAAAAACCCGTTAACCCTTAACTACCCAACGTGTTCACTTGGAATTGTAAAAAAAGAAAATGTTAAAATATCGCAACTAGGCTAGCCAGAAAATTATTTTAATTTCAACAACATACATGAATCCAGTAAATAGTGCGGGAACGCTGTCAACAAGTCCTTTAATAACATATAAAGCAGTGTTCCAGAGGACTTTAGATATGATGGCCAAAGGCATTATATTTTAAAAAGCCGAAAAGAGGAGATGCAGGGGGATTCTTTCAAGCAAGTCACTAAAGTGCGCTGAATGTGGTGTAGGTTAATGTTGGGACTGTTTTGAGGCTACCCTCAATTTTTTAAAAAATATAATGCCTTTTACCATGAAATCTAATGTCTTCACGTCTTCAAGTCACTTGCTATATATGTGGTGAGAGGGTTGTTTGGTGGTGTTCCCGGCCTTTTTACTGGATTCATGTACTTTGTTGAAATGTAACAATTTTCCGTCTAGTCTAGTTGTGATATTTTGACGTTGACTTCTTTTTTGTTCCAAATGAACTCGCTGGGCAGTTAGGAATTAATGTGATCTAGTGGGGTTTTATGAGAAATTGTCCTGCGAAAGATGATAAATTGACGTCGATGTGAGATCGTGCATTATTAGGAAACTTATATAAACACTTTATTTGTCATTTCAAAACTGATTATTGTTGTTAATAACAAGATATCGAACACTTGTGTTTCAAGAACTCTTTACTATGACTCTCTTAGTTTCATAGTTTACCTGTAGTTCATCAGAGGGAACAATTTAATTTACGAATATTAATAATCTGTATTATTTTATTAATATTATTTTGTTTAATAAAATACTTCTTATTATGAACAAATCTATTTTGTGATTTTTGGCACAATGAATTCTAAAATTACAGTAGAGGTTGGCAATACGTTTGCGGGTATTCCACTAAATAACCTTCTCTGAAAACGTCGGATAATAAACTGCAGGAAGATATTACGTGAAGCATGGAGTAATTCATATTTATCCAATAAAAAGACTGCTCGCTAGAAGAATGCGCCTTCAAACAAGGGAAAGTAAACAAACGTGATGAGAGTTCCCCGTGGTGAATCCCTGCTCAACGCGGTGTGGTGCGGAGGGGAGCGTATTTAAGGCTCATTGCAGCCGCATGCAGCAGATCTCGTCTTTGCCGGAAGAGACAACCGTCCAGGCTTGATTCAGTCGCAGAAAGCAGCACCACAGAGGTCTCGTCAATAGAACCAATACGATTTCTTCGCCAGGTAAGAATCTTCTACTAAAGTAGTTGGCGCAGTAAAAAGCAGAATTTACATTTCCTAAATAACAATTATCAGTAACATTATTTGGCCCGTTCTGCGCCTTCAAAAAACCAAAGTTTCTAATGCGTACGATGTTACCTGTGCATGATCTATACGTTTATTTAATTCAGTTTGGGTTAAAAAAGCCCCCTTTCCATTCAATCCAACACAAATTGTTAGAAACAATCGGATTCGGTGTGATTCTTTGGACAATGTTTGTGAACACAGTAGTTCAACATAATTATTAGAGATGACAAACATCTTGCAACCACAGCACGGCCGTTGAACCGATAAGAATGCCTACTATTCGTATAGTCCCTTCACATGGAGATGAACTATCTGCTGTTGCCGAATCCCGACGTACTACCAACAATTTTACGCCCGAGAAAATTGCAGGTGATTTTGGAACCCAGCACGCGAGAAGCTGCTTGCCATGCGCGTTTGTGTTGCAAGGATGGGGTGGCGGTGGTGCTCTGCTTCTGCTGCTGTGGTCGTTCTCCGCGTTCGCCTTTCGCTCGCCCTGAGCCAGGCTCGTCGTCCTCCAGGCGGCCGACGGCGGCTCAGCCCGCTCTTTGGAGGAAGGCCAGGCGCTTCCCCTGAGGTACCACCGCTTTTTCCTCAAACCATTGCCGCAACATGGTTACTCTCTAAATGGAGCCCCTCGGTTCAATTACAATTTTCTTGTTTTTTTTCTAGTCGTATACGCAATTATTCATTAAGTGTTGGCGACATCACAACTAACCAAAATTATTCGCATAAATATAGGATATACCTCACTTTTAGAACAGATTTATCGATTAGTTAATTTCTCTTCTTCAATATTTATTATAAACTATAAAAATGGCATTAATAGGTATTGGAAAATTGCGTTCGAAAAAGAAAGGCAATTTCGTGAAATATCAAATACTAAATCGCAATCCTCTTCAGATGAATATTTTATTTCGATTCGCAATAATTTCAGAAGAAATGGGAGAAAAATTTAAAATACGATATGTTTTGTGTAAATTTGAAGTGTCCTTTTTCCGATTTTTGGATCAAATATATTTCGTTATATTTGTGATTAATCTGAACGTTACATTGAATTCAAATAATTGTTACAAAATGTGTCGAAAACGTTTTCTTATTTTTCAATCCCCATTCCCGTTGCCAGTGTAGTGAAAAGACTCCTATAAATGACTGCATTTTTTAGTTCCCTCGATAATCTAATAATTCCTTTTGACTTTCAAATTTACTACACGAAGATTGCTAAAAATTTAATGCCAAAATTTTACATTAATTTTCGATTATATAGCAGTTTTGAATCAAGGAAGAACCTTGAATAGCACCAAAGTAGAATATAAACTAATTTAACTGTATTATAACTTTTAGCTGTAATGCTAAAAATGCTTAGCTGTTCAAACATTTTAGGAACTTATTTGAGTGAGGAGGTTTAATAGATGTAAGAGGAAAACGTTTGTCACCTTTTGTCTCTGTGCTCCACAGGTGCGCCAGCGACGTGACGTGGAGTGGTCGGAAGCGGTGGTCGAAGACCGAGTGAAGAGGTCACCACAGCGCCGCCCTCGACCTCGACCTCGACCACGCCCACGCCCACGCCCGCCCATCATCATCATCCCGGGCTAAGCAGCTCTCGCCAACGGAAGCGGTTGTTTCAGATCGCAAACAAGCTGATCAACTCCTTCAAGCATCCAAAGAATGCAACTGCAGCACTCAGTTGACATCAGACGTAGAGCGTACAATAGCAAATATCTTGATCTTTCAGAATTGAGATGAATGCTGTCAACTGAAACATAAAATTCTTTGCTAAATCAAGATTGCAATTAAATTCTAATCTTGGTGATGAAAATCTAATTTACTTGAGGGAGACTTCATTATTATTGTTAATACCTTTACAATATACATTTAATTTACACTTTCTCTGCAAATAAATGAGAGCAATTATACTTGTGTTGGTAATCAAATTTTGAGTTTATCCCCTTCGAAATAATGAGATTTTGATGTTTAATTATTTCTCCTACAAATTTCTCTATATTTTTCCAAATGCTTTTAAACATTACCATTAAGCCGATACTGAAAATAACCAACCTCGTTGTTACTTGTGCTATCGACTGTGTGTCGTTCTATATATTATTCGAAATAACATCTCAAAATCTTTTCTAAGTGTATCTTACCCCATCTTAAGCTATCCTTCATTTCCTTTAATTGTTCTAATCGTACAGTGCGCTATTAAATTTTTAAAGGACGTCGGGTCTAAAGTTGCTTTTCGTTTCTCTTTTTGGCTGCGTTCAGTTAATTATAATCCCTATACAGTATTTGAGTAACTGAATTGGTTCCGTCACTCTCGGTTAGACCGCTTCCTGTACACCAATCGAGATATATGAGGTGTCATTCGACGCGTCTCTGTTCTCTAATGGGGGTCGATAATTTGTTTTCGGATCCGTTCATAAAATTCAACGAAATTTCCAAAAACCCGTTTTGGCGCTGCCAATTTATTTTTACATTTTAATGACTTTCCTTTTTGGTAGTTAATTTGCTGATTACGACTTTGCGAATATTGAAGAAGGCTCTGTAAATATCTGAGCATGTACTACTATTATTGTTAGAGATAATGTTCCTAAAGTTACAAACATAAGAATGTGAGTAAAATTACTGAAAAAGTTTGATGTTAAAGTTTGAATTTTTTCACTCATTTAGTGCATTCCTACACCATATCCTAGGTCATTTATATTCACTTCTATGATACGTTTAGCTCCCTGATTGTTCTGTTCATTTAGTAGATTATTTAATTTTTTTCACACTTGCTGGAACTTTGCTTGGCAATGCATTGGAGAATAAATTTAGTATTTCTTCTAACATATTTCCAGTACTTTCATACTCTCCTATATTATTTCACTAGTATACATACATTTTGCGGCTCACTCGCGCAAGCAAGCTTTATACAATATATCTATTTATCTATCTATCTATCTATCTATCTATCTATCTATCTATCTATCTATCTATCTATCTATCTATCTATCTATCTATCTATCTATCTATTATATTGTAGGTAACATTGGGAGATGCGCATACAAGAAAAATATCTGTTGAAAAGGTGTAAAAAAGAGAGGCTTACGTTAAGAATATATGCAATTCTGCAGTTCACGAAGATGGCGCAAAACATATAGTTATTCTTCAGAGTTAAACCATATTATTCAAACGATTGTTTTATAATTCTTCAGCATTACGTCATCGATTAAATCAACAGAGATAAAAAATAGTGGGTCAGATATAAAAAATTACTTGATAAAAATGGCGGATTATTCGCGACAAAAGGAAATAATGTAACAAAAATAGGGAAGAGAAATGTAAATATTTCAGAAGGAAATTAATCAAAGTAATAAAGAATAGTCTAGAATATTTAAAGAAAAATCCGAGGATTATCAAAAAAGACAATCGACATCCTAAAAAAAATTCAAAAATTAAAGGAAAAGCTGAATGACATAGATGATGTAGGAAACGTCAGGACTAAATAAGAAGCGAATCTTCCTAGCAGCATAAAGCAGAAACTGCATAAAGCATATTTCAGATTTCTCAAAATTGTTTGAAATGAAGTTTCTCGTTTATAATAAGAAACAGCTACAAATTGCAATTTTCTACACTGCTATTTGGAAGAAAATTAATGTTTATAACGTAAGTTTTTAAGATTTTCTGAAAATTAAGCTTCTAAACGCAAATTAAGTATCAACAGTGAATTCGCCTAGAAATTTCGTGATAGGTCCCTGGTTTTGTGAAATATCCATGTAATGTCGAAATTCAGAAAATTTCGTCGAAGAAATTATACAATTTTAACACAAAAAAAGAAAGCCGAATATCACACAAACTATGCTAAATAAATCAATATTAGAACCATCTAATTTTAGAACCAAATTAATTTAAAATTCTAGAGATTTAAGTATATAGCACTATTTGTTACAATCGCATGAAAAAAGGGCCCGCTAGAAACGATGAAATAAACACGTTGTATTTTAAATTTTAAACGCTCTATATAATATAATCATATTCAAAAGACCCCATCTCCTAAACTACTCAAGAAACAGCGCTAATATTTGCACAGGAGATTGTATGTACACTACATTTAAATAGAGTTTTTAATGATGTTTTTGTTCAATAAAAACCTCCTTTAATTTGCAATGTTCTCAACTGCTTTTTTGGGGAATAATTGACGTTCATGGCGACAATTTGAGTAATTTTAGA